AAGCAGTTGCCGTCTGGAACGCTGGAGATGCCAAAGCCAGGGCGACCATCGGACTGCTCATCGAGGACATCCAGCACATGTTGATCCGTTTGTCGAAGACAGCGAAGGAAGCATGGATGTCACTCCAGAACCATCATCAGAAGGTGAGCCTCACGTTAAAGGTCTCGTTGCTGAAGCGAATCTCCGACAAGCGTTATACGAAATGAGAGAACATGGCCGAAAACGTTTTCGCTATGGAGGAACTGTTCAGTAGCCTTGCGAATGCCGGACAGCTATTGGAGGAAAACTCATGGTCGCCATGATCCTGAGAAACATGCAAAGAGCGTTCGACACCCTGACTACCGCTTTGGAGAGCCGGTCGGACAAGGATCTGACCCTAGAACTTGTCAAGCGGAAACTCCTGGATGAAACCACGAAACGGCAAGGCTCCGGGACGGATTCGGCGATGAAGGTTGGACAGGGCAGCAGGAAGAAGAAAACGCTGGTCTGCCACTATTGCAAAAAGGCAGGCCACATGCAGAGGGAGTGTCGACAATTCATCCGGGACAACGAGAAGGAAACGAAGCCAGGAGAGCAGGGAAAGCCTTCACCGAAAAACGATGGAAATTTCGTATCGTTCGCGTTTCTGGCCGGAAGACGCGAGGATGAAAATGGAAATGAAGACAAGCCTTGGATTGTGGACTCGGGCGCGAGCAGTCATACCGTCGCAAGCCGTGATTTTTTCTCAGAGCTGCACGAAAGCGACGTGAAACACGTTACACTTGCTGACGGGAAGCGAGCAATCGTCAAAGGAGAAGGTCCCGGAATGATCCAGTGCTACGATGACAAGGGTAAGCAAACCGAGATGAAGCTAAGCAAGGCGCTGTATACATCCACGCTGGCGATGAATCTTTTGTCTGTTCCGCCGCTAGCGTAAAAACTGTTATTTTCGACATCAACGGTTGCCGGGTGATTGGTTGATCAATCGAGTCAATCCATAGAAAGCGACGGCGATATCAATAAACCACCAACTGAACTGAGACGATCCACGAGAGTCACTAGGGGAATCCTGCAGAAACTTTACTGAGAGGTCACCGGCGTCACCAGTACTACTACCGATGAACCCAGGAGTTATACCGATGCAATCCAATGTCCAGATGCAGAAGCGTTGCATTTCGCAATGAAGGAGGAGCTACAGTCGTTACTGGACAATCAAACATGGGAAGTAGTACCACTGCCCCCTGGAAGGAAGGCCGTTGGGTGTAAGTGGACCTTCAAGAAAAAGCTCGATGAAATTGGCAACACAATGCAATTCAAGGCCAGGTTGGTCGCATAATGATTCACACAAAAATATGGGACGGATTACGACGAGGTATTCGCTCCCGTTGCTCGGCAAACTACTCTTCGTACCATCTTGACCATTGCCAGTCGGGATAACATGCTGGTGCAGCACATGGATATAATGGACTGTTTATTTGTATGCCGAGCTAGATGAAGAAATATTTACGAGTCTGGAACCGGAAGATCGACAGCGTTCAAGCTTGGTAGGTAGTTTGCTGTACGTCGGCGTCAACACGCGGCTAGATATCTGCCTTGCAACTTCATTGCCGGGCAGAAAGGTGTCCAAACCAACAAACCACTGAGATATCTCAAGGCAACCAAGGACTTTTCCCTACATCTGGGATCCGGAAATGAATGCTTGGAATGTTTTGTCGACGCAGACTGGGCTGGAGATGAAGGAGGCCGAAAAACCAACTCTGGTTTCCTGATCAAATTCGGTGGAGGGCTGGTAAGTTGGGGCACCCACAAGCAGTCTTGCGATGCACTTTCTTCAACAGAAGCCGAGTTTGTGGCCTTGGCTCAGGGATGCCAGGGGCTGTTATTGATGCGAAAGCTGATGAAGGATATCAACAGGAACCAGCATATCCAATCGTTGTGTGTGAGGACAACCAATCCTGCATCAAGATGGTCGATTCCGATCGAAGCATGCGTTTACCAGAGATCTACGTCTACAAGGGATTATCTATTTGCGGTATCTGCCAACCGCTCAGATGGAAGCCGATGACTAAGCCATTGGACCAGGTGAAGCTCTTATTTGCGGCTTACAACAAATCTCCTGATTTAGATATTTGGGTAAGAATATAGTATCCGTGGTCCATGAGTTTCAGCTACATCAGCTGCAATTTTTTCCAAATCCGTTTGAATCTAGACAGATTTTTAGCTGGAATACGTCTCTTAGAGTAGTCCTGCTTGCAATATTTTCTCGTTCAAGGAACTCCAGCACTCTCTGCGCGTAGTGTGCCGATGCCAAGTCTTGCCAAAATAAAACATTGCTGGTGTAATGATGCTTACGAATGAAAGGAATCAACCGCTTCTTCAGACATTCGTTTAGATAAATATCTGCATTTATAGTAAAGAACAAATTGAGCTCCTGATTTGGCACGAACAGCTTGTTTCTTTACATACTTTGGCACGACCTGTTTTGTTCTTGTCTTGATGTGCAATTTGTGTTTTTTTTTTTATATCACTATGCGTTGACTTTGGAATTTGCATTTTCGAAGCTAACTGGCGGACAGAAACATCGCGTTGCTTCGTAAATACTTTTTCTAAGGCACTCACGATATTAAGCCTTGATACGGATACTGGACGGCCTGAGAGTTTAAGGAAATCAGCTGTACCAGTTTCGGAATACCTTTTTAGAACATCTTAAATAGTGCTGGATGGAACTCCTTCCACTTTGGAGTGACGATACGTGGTGGTCTTGCAACAATTAGCAATATTTTTGAAAAACTTGACAATGCGGTTCACACGCGCTTCTCTTTCACTACGTCTCATTGTTATGAAAACTGACGTTTGTACACACATAAATTATTCTGAATACTACAAACAAAAACCTACTCAATGGTATGTTACACGATAAATCTAGCCGAAGTATTCGATACAAAATATGGTGCACAAAGTATTCCGGTTACTTTCCGGCAGTGATGGAAAAGTTCGCGAAAACTCACTATGACTCGTGAACTTTTCCCTTGGTGAACTTCGTGAAATATCGCGAACTTTTCCAACACTGCTTTCCGGACATGGTTTATTCGAAAAGCAATACTACTGCAACACCCGACTAGGATTTAAGGCTTCGTTTGACGACAAACACGACCAGTCGAGGGGTAGAGAAAGCTGGAAGCCAATCAAATGTTACGCTACGCTATGCTAGTGTATTGCAATCAAATGAAAGTTGAAACCAGCAATCACTTTCCTGCACCAGTTTCCCTTCTCTGCAGCTTCTACATCTGGATTCATCACTAGACAATTTTTCTTCGTTACAATTGATTTCCTATGTGAGGTTAATGTCTTTACATACAAATAAAAAATCGTTTCAAACATTCTATTCTTCTTCATCTGCCCACCAATAAATGCCACCGGTTCTTGAAAAAGAATTTTCAATTGTACAGAATCTATATTGAAACGTTGCAAGGAGATTCATTCCACGGATGAGTAGTCATGGATACTTCGATACAAATATTGCTGTGCCAACATCGATGGAACCAACAAAGTACAGGACAAGGATACCTGTAAAGAGAAAATTCTTGTCGATTGCAAGAAGCTTTCGGCTGCTCTGGATACGCATCAAAGGAATGCAGCAAATACCTACGATGGTTACTTGGATAGTCTCTATAGTTGTACCACAATAGGAGAACAGGTGGGATGATACCTACCTGTAAAATAGTAGAGAAGAAATGGGAAATGGGAACAAAATTGCCAAATGGATCGCAATGCTCGACATGTACGACAATGGATTTTCGTTAGAATTTGTTGACATAGCAGAGAGTGGAATTGATTGCATTGCATTCGGTAGGAGTTGTGGATGGATATGGACGACCATCCCGGTAGGTAGCAAACAGGTGTCGGATGAAACGGAATATTGCTTGTTTTTGTTTGAAATGGTTTTACCTTTCACTGTTTGCTCATTGACTTTTTCCGAAAGGATTCAATAATGGGTTGGCAGATTAATCCAGGCAAGTCATCTTATAGCTTTAGATATTCGATTCCGACAATGGATTGCTTTGCTTTGAGTTTAAGTTGTTTGAATTCAAGAAATGATGACGAAAAAACTTAAAACATAACCTCACCTTTCACTAATTAATTACCACCTGAACAATTTTTCGACGTAACAAATTTCCACAACATAAACCCAAGATTAATTTACCGGTAGTTCACACCTGGAACCAATCTAAAAAAAACACATTAATTTAGTTGGTCCTCTCAAGTTTCACAACTTCCCCAAAGCTGTCAGACCTTTTCCTTTGCATCATTCCAAAATTTGAAATTTGAAGCTGTTTCAACATCCAGATAGATCCAAGCAAGTTATAGTTCCATATGCTAAACCTAGGTGTGAGGCCGAGCGTGTGTGTGAAAAGGTGTTATCAGGGCTGATTAGAATAATAAATTTCAATTAATTTATAGCTTCTATCATAAAAATTAATCGACTTCACGCTCCATCACTCCCATCGTCAACTAGGCTGGGTGGAGGATACGGACAATTTACGATCTAAAAACTTCTTCTTCTTCTTTCAAATGGGAAGTAGATGCCTTTTCCGCCCACTCACATCCCCTTCCTTCCGAACCAGGACAGCCGATCTAATTCCGGCAGACGTGCTCACGTTAGCGGAACAGATAGCGGCGAACGTTCTTTTTTTTTAGTTCAGGACGAGGGCAGTCCGAAGGCAGCACACGTGCAATGTGCGAACATGCGGGCGAGTGAAGAAAAGCCATTAAGCCGATTAATTAAAAACTTTACAGCTTAAGTACCATTTGCTCTCGTTACGCTAGTCTTGCAAATGGCTTCCAGTAATAGATTCGAGAAGTTTACACTGCCAATTTTTCAGACTCCATAAATTTAGCATCAAATGTGACTATCAACTTCGCCCTCCTGCTACTCAAATCGATGAAAAACGATTCTGTAGTACCTTGTAGTACCGTAGTAATTTGGCTAATTGTTTCCATTTTCTCTGTATCGTTTTCAGTCACCTGCCCGAGATCGCACTTTACCTGCGGGGATGGAAAATGTATACCCCAGCACTGGAAATGTGATACCTACGCCGACTGTACGGACGGATCGGACGAAATCGATTGTGGTTAGTATTCGCTTCCTTTGTTTATTAATGGACGTCATTATTTTATCGTTTTCTTTCGCACCGCGATGTTTCGAATCAGCGGACAACTAAGACCTTGTTTTATATTAATGAGTGATATAATTCCGTCGGATGTTTCGGAAACAGGTACATAGCACTCTCTTTGACATTCTTTTTCGTGTTTTTCAACATTTTCTTCCATAATGTGCGGTTCTTCTTGGCGTTTTGCTTTGTTCTGAACTTGGTGTTCTTTGAAGCACTTTTACAGTTATTAATTGAGCGTTTTCTATGCCAACTAATCTAACCTAATACAAACGCAGCCAGCACGAGAAAGCATCCTGGAAAATGGTTAGGTTAGATGAGGTCTAATCATTTTTCTTGTTTAATTGATGCTTACAGCATATCTGAGATATGATATAAACATCAATACGGCCAGGCCTACTGCGTTGTATTTACCGCAAAGATGAGTCTTGGAAATGAATGGGAACATTTCTTGAATCTACAGGGGTGGAAGGATGCGTGGACATACCATACCAAACAAGCAAATAAGAGCTCCGAGTTACTATGTGTAATTGTGTATAATGTGAATCATAAAATAATGCAATGAAAGGATCTTACCGAATTTTTCCTATGTTGGTAATGATTCTTTTGCGCTTAAAAGTTTCGTTGGATGCATCCACTCCTTGTTTATCATGGGGTTTGGGATGCAGTTCCTCGTCATTGCTCGTGGTTATGTTTAGTGATGTGATGGAGATCATTACTTTCACTAGAAACTACTACTCCTGGCTGGTCCGCCAGCCTTGCGTCGAGGTTGGAATTGCCTCCTCGCTCGAATCCTTCGTTGTGAGTGGTTCGATAGATACGCGCCCATTTTGGCTTGCAGGCAGCAGCACTTTGCAGGAGAAAATTTGCACGTTCGATTTTAACCTACTTCCACTGGATATCACCGTTACCTCCTGCTTCCGGAAGAAAAACCCCGGTTCGTTCAATCGCGGTAATCTTAAAAACTCTTTGGATCCTTTTTTCAAATAACCAAACACAGCACTAAAAACACACGCGAAATTATTGAAAAAGTTTTCAGGTGTCCAAAATGCACCAGCTAATGCACTTATTGCACTGAATTTCCAATAAACATCTCGGAAAATAAAGCAGCAGCAAATTCAAAACACGTCAGTTTCAATGCACGGCCTACCTCGATCAATTCTCAAGAGATTTTTTGCAGTGCGAATATTTTGAATTAATATTAACTTCAAGTTTAAGTCACGCAAAGATACTGCAAAAGTAGACTATCAAAGACTTCCCAAGTAACCAACAAGCCTGCTAATTACCCTTTTTAGCAATATAAGGCTGATGTACGACTGATATAAAGTTCGGAAACCCTATATTTACCTTATATCGCAAAAAGGGCGATTATCGGGTAGTTAGCGGGCTTGGGCTTGGTGGTTACTTGGGCTTTCAAACATTTAAAAAAATCTTCACAATCTACTAATATCTTCGCATGACTGACAACAGGTTGGTACAGACAAGGGATGGCTTTTGTAAATTACATATTGACTATTTTCATAAGTTAGTATATTTTAAATAGAATATTGAAAATTGTAATTAAGGTCTGGAACGCGCAAAAATTGGTCAACTTCAAATTGGTATATTTCTGTCCTGAACTGCTGCATTTGGAAGTTGAGTGTATATACAATGGTTGCTATGATGAGTCTTCACCGTTTGCTCTCCAGTTTTCAAAATGACGTCCAAGCAGTGTGTCAAAATTTTCCTCGCGCAGCAAGAGAATCCAACGTTCTCACACGCCAAGTTGGCAAATTTGCTGGATGTGGCCAAATCGACTGTGACAAACGTTTTAAAAGTGTTCGGGGAGCGTCTGTCGACCGCCAGGAAGCCTGAAGGCGGCGGTAATCGTAATCCGGACGTGGCAGCGACGATGAAGAAGGTTGCGGTGAAATATAAGCGGAATCCTAACCTCTCCACCCGGGACGTCACTGGCAAGCTCAATGTCTCCCATACTATTGTGCAGCGGGCCAAGAAACGAGCCGGGTTGTCGACGTTTAAGAAGGTGAAGGTGGCGAACCGAGATTACAACCAAAACACGTCGGCAAAGTAGCGGTCCTGAAAGCTGTACACGAATCTGCTCACAAAGTTCGACTGTGTCGTCATGGACGACGAAACTTATGTGAAGGCGGATTTCAAGCAGCTTCCGGGACAGGAGTTTTATACCGCATCAGGAAAAAGGAAGGTGGCTGAAATTTTCAAAACCATCAAACTATCGAAGTTCCCGAAAAAATATCTCGCCTGGCAGGCAATATACACGTGTGGTCTAAAAAGCGGCATTTTTATTACTACGGGAACCATCAAGAGATCTACGTCCAGGAGTGCCTGGAAAAGCGGATGTTACCATTCCAAAAGCAACATAATAGGCCGGACTTGGCGAGCTGCCACTATGGGAAAAAAGCAATCGAGTGGTACGATGCGAACAACGTGGTTGTGGTACCCAAAGACCACAACCCTCCCAACAGCCCAGAACTCCACCCTATCAAACGGAATCTAAAAAAAAAATATAAATCCATGGAAAATGAGCAGCAGTTTAAATCTAGCTGGCGTTCGGCGGCGAATAAGGTTGATGAGACCACTGTGCAAAATTTAATGGAAGGGTCAACATGACAGTTACGTTCATGAATGGAAAGTGTGTTTTCAAAAAAATAAAAATAAAGGTTCAACCAAGGGGTATGTCACTCAGCACATTGTGCTGGAATTATATTCTACACAGCTTGGGCACATCCATCGGCACATTTTCGGTTTTCCTTCGGCACAATCTCGTAGGCATAAGATTGTTGTAAAATACAAAAGGGTGCACTGCTGGAAAACTGTCATTGAAGTTGTTCAGAACATTACGTGCTGTTTGACTGTATGTTCAAGAACATCTTCTAATTGAATATACTAGAGGAACTCAGACCAGCAGTTCACTTATAGATCTAAATACGAAATGTCGGTTCTAGAGTGGACTCAAGAGGAAGAGGCAGTTAATCAGACCTCATTAGTACCCTTAGTTCAAATGCTGCAACTCACTAAAGAAGTCTATTCATTACCCTCTAAAGTCGGCCTCCAACAATGCTCCCCACCAGTTCCAACTCTTTTCGGCCGAAAGGCTAGGTACCTGGTCTGCCTTTGCGGGCATTATAAAACACTAAAACACAGGACTTTTATTACTCTATGGATCACAAAACACCAAAATTTCTCACACCCGCCACTTCCCGCGTCATCCTTAATCCAATTTATCCTTGCGATTTCAAACCAAAACATTCAAGGTGTTAGAAATACCGGGTTGCCGGGATGGGTATTTTACAAACAATAGCAGCTTGCTCTATGACCGGCACAATCGGCATACTTGCGGCACACTGACAAAAAAGATGACCCAAAATTGGTGTGCGGAGTGACCTACCCCTTGGGTTCAACGTTTAATTTTCTTTATAACTATAATAAAAAAAAGCATTCTTGACCGTGAGATTGTATCTAAAAAAATAAATGAATTAAGGGTATTATTCAAGTAGCAGCTGTCATCCACAACTGAAATTTTATATACCTGCTAATCTATCTGAATTCATCGTGCTTCTAAAGCACGTTGGATAGGATCATATTTTTCACTTTTAGGACCACAATTAAATTATGGACAGAAGTAAATAAATGAATTAGTTATGATTTTATTTAATGAAAATCCGGCCCAAAACATCTGAAAAATAACATAAAAATGTGATTGTGCCATCGGCGTGAAGGAATTCAGGAAAAAAAAATAGCATTGATTTCCCACCAGAAAAGCTTAAAACTCCAACGCACACATCTGGTCATATCTCAAAAACTATTTGTCCAAATCATTTGCCCTTAGAAACACATCAAGTGAAGAGTTTTACAACGTTTGGTGAAAATTTGAGCCCAAAATAATAAGAAATAAAAAAATCCCGCCCATGGTGAAAATAGGCCATTTTTTTGACATTTTGTATACCTGACGGTAATCAGCCTGTTTACTGTTGTTACTATAACAAAAACAAAATGTGGTTACACCTATAAGAATCTACATTAAGAAACCTTCAAATTGACGTTCTAAGATCACGAATAGCTTATTTGGTTGTAGAGTAATCTCTTCTGGAAGTAGAAATTTTTAAAAATCTCGAAAACCCAGGGTTGTAGCCGAAAGGGATCTAGGCACTTCAGAGCAAAATAAAAAAGGGCGTTTGTTCAAAATGCCAAAATAAGCGTTTTGGCAAAGTTTGCCTCAAATAGGTGACATCGACCACAGGTGGTGTGCCCACTTGAGCTGGAATGACCCATATGGATTTGTAACATTGAAAATATCATCCTTCCTATCTACACACTAAGATTTTGTTTTCGCGTTCGGTAATTTTTTACCGAAATCCGAACAGCTGAACGTTCGGTAAAACTGTGATCTTCAATTTTAAAGTCCATTGAATTAAAAATTAATTTCAAAACATGTTCAACCTTGCTTAAACGATCAAATCTTGTCATTTTAGTGGAGATTTAGTTTCAAAGTAACTGAAAAGAAATTGATTTGAATTGTATAAATTTTACCGCTTTTTCAGCTGTTCAGATTTCGGTCAAAATGACCGAATTGGGCGATAATTTCTAAGTGTGTAAGTATTACAAAAAAGAGATTTTCAAGTCGTAAGTTATCGCTGGAATTACAGAAGGGCTGGTTCTGGTATTTAATTCTTAATAATGGGATTTATAGCACTCAAGCTGTTTTTTTTAGACTTCATACGTGAAATGTAACCAATTTTCAGAGTTGTGAGGAATTCCTATACTAATATCAACATGAAGTTTTAGTGCGAAAATTTATTCGCTATTAAAAGTTCTGAAGATGATAGCTTAATAGTTCCGCTAGAGTATGGTAGTGTGAAATATGAAGTTGAAAATCAGCGAAGGACCATTAATGCAACAATCCTAATCAAACGCACACTTCTTTACCTAGCTCATACATTGAT